GCAAAATGAGCTAATCTAATCTAGATAAGGCTGCTGTTGCCGAACTGGGTAGGATGAGCATCACTGAATCCTTGCTGCTGCTGGCGGTGGGCCCGGGGCCTGTTGCTGCCGGCGGCGATGGTACGTCTTCCCGAGGAAGGCGTCCATAACAGCTGTAATGCGTTCCATTTTCTGCCCTGACAATACATGCTGTTATTGATAGGTAATGGATTCTGGCTTTTCTTGTTCTTGTTACAGGTTCAAGCAGTTGCGTGGAATCATCACGTGCCACAAGTTCTTCTCAGTGGATCATTTGATCACTCAGTTGTTCTGGTACGTATCAGTATCTTTTTGTTTTATGTCTGTGCTATTTACTCAAATTATATATTCAGATCCTAAGGACTATTACTGAAGTCAAAACTTAGATGGAAATGAAATAATTAGCACCATGTTCTATATATACATGTTGACTTGTTGAGGGAATGCGGTTGGGACCTCCCATTTTATTCAGTCGGTATGAAGAGATTTTGAACTCTAGATTGGAGTTTCTATCAATCTAATCTATACATTCTTTTAGGAAAAACTGGGTGATTGTCAAGAAAAACCCACAGATATGTTTAGGACTTAGGGTATCCTACCAGGTTGCTTTCTGCATAGATGATCCCTCATATTGGTTATTGGATAGTGGTTCCTGACAATGGCCATGTGTACAATGTCTTATTTTTGAGAATTACTCAAATATTCTATACAGAAACTTCATCTTTCTTTTACATTCTTATTATTTGATCCATTGCAAGTTATTCAATATGGAAGAAAGTACTTGTTATGGTAAAGAGTGGAGACATTCAGGAAGGAAAATAAATAAATAAAACAAAATTGTTGGAAGGTTTCTAATCAGGTGCTGCAGGGAATTGGCTGTTCTCTAGGCTATTTTTGATTACTTTAAGGAAGTGTCTTTTTTCTTACTGTTGTATTTTATGATGCTTACATATTTTAGTATTTCAGATAGAGTTCTTTCCAAGAACACATGCAGAAAAATGTTAGTAAACTTTTTTTTTTTCCTTTGAAGGCCAATGATTGCAAATATTGGGAAACGCTCCAAGCCTCCAACCAAGCCCAAAACCGAAGCAAAATTATATAAGCATGCTGCCCTAAGCTAAGCAAGCATATTCTGTCAAATCCACCTCTTACAATCGCATTAGCAACCAAGGAGGCAAAATTTGGAACCAGTTAAACATGATATTATTTGTATTCAATGAACTTACATCTCAGTAAATGTGATTAACAATCATGCCTGCTAGAGTTATGGGAGATTTGGTTAATGGCTTTTCATAAATCTTGGTCCACCTCAATCTTCTTAAATCACTGAGGAGAGTCTAAGCCCTTGGGAATTGGGACACAGTTGAATGAGTTAATCTTGTTGATGTGACAATCTGGCCTCTCTGAAATCTGTGGAATTGCAGGAGATCCAATCAGTGGCTATTTGTAAATCCCAGTCAACTTCAACCCTCATGTACCACCCCTACCATGTGTCTCAGATTCCCAACAAACACCCATCAAGGTTTGACTCTAAAAGTATACAGATTGGGAGATGCTCAAATCTGCTCAATCTCTGGGTGACGAGGATTGGACTTTGATAAAAGTTGTGTCGTAGGTGTGAATATGGGGAAAGTGAGCTCCTTGAGTGTGCAAATATTTTGGGTTGTGAAGTGTCGAGTTGGCCTCTAATTTATCTTGGTCTTCCCCTAGGAGATAATCCTCAAAAAGGAAGTTTTTGGATTCTAGTAGTGGAGAGGTTTGAAAAGAGACTTGCTTCTTGGAAGAAAAACTACCCATCTCTTGGAGGAAGAATCACCTTAATTATCCTTTCCCTCTATTCTCTTAATTTAATGAAATTGATGTTATTGATCAAAAAAAAAAAAAGAATCACCTTAATTAGGTCTACTCTAGCTAATCTGCCCATTTATTACCTTTCAGTTTTTAAGGTGCCTGCAAGGGTGGCTAGCAAGTTAGAAAAACCAATGAGCGACTTCTTGTGGGAGCTAGGGGAGGAAAAAAATGATCATAGGGTTAGATGGGAGATGGTGTGTAGGAGTAAGCAGGATGGAGGGCTAGGTATTGGGAACTTAAGGAAGAGGAATTTGGCTTTGTTAGGGAAATGGTTGTGGAGATTTTCATTGGAGAGGGAGAAACTGTGGGCTACAAGATCACCCTGGAAATCCATCCAAGCTATTTTGCTTCTTTTCTCTCCTTGGATCAGGTATGACTGCACTCGGGTAACCTTGTAAAGTTTTGGGAACATGTTTGGGTTGGGGACTCCCCTTTGAAAGACCAATTTCCAGCTCTGTTTGCAATCTCCACTTTCAAAAATGAACCAATTGCCACTTTCCTTGTTTCCTCAAATTCAAATTATGGGTTTGGATGGAACTTGGGTTTGAGAAGAGCACTCAGGGACACAGAACTGGATAATATTTCAACTCTTTTGTCCATTCTTGATGGGATTTTCCTGGAGCCTACAAAGATAGATAGTAGGATTTGGACTTTGTCTTCCTCCGGATCCTTTACTTATGCCTCCTTTAAAGCTCAAATACAACCAGAAATTCCTATTGGTTTGTCGTTCCCTATCAAGGAAGTGTGGTGTCAACTTATACTTATGAGGGTTGGGAGTTTTTGTTGGGAAGCTTTCCTAGAAAGAATCAACACAGGTGATTTACTTCAAAGAAAAAGACCCAATAGCTGTTTATCTCCACACTGGTGTGTTTTATGCAAAGCTGCTGGTGAGTTTGGTTACCACTTACTAATATCCTGTGTTTTGGCAAAAAATATTTGGGATTTGTTTGCTTCTTTGTTTGGGTGCAGGTGGATATCCCCAACTAATGTGCAAAGCTTGTTTTCCTCTTCTTCTATTGAATGCTCAACAAAAAGATCAAGAATCATGTGGAGATGTGTGAGAGCTGCTGTTTGTTGGACATTATGGGAAGAAAGAAATGCAAGGATCTTTTCGGAAAAGGAGAGAGGCTTGGAAACTATAGTAGAAGTGATTCATATAAGGGTAATACATTGGTTGAAGACAATGAATGAGTTCACAGATTTTTCAACAAATGATATATTAAGAAATTGGAAAGAAATTGCTAGCTCAGTTTCAAGAAAGAAGACTTCGAATCTCAATTGGAACCCTCCACCTCCTGGTTTTATCAAACTAAATTTTGATGGCAGTAGCATGGGGAATCCAGGGCCTTCGGGTATTGTGGGGGTACTAAGAGATGAGAGAGGTCATGTAATAGCTATGTTTTCTGGCTCAGTTGGAGTGGGAGACTCCTTGAGGGATGTGGTGTTAGCAATGTTGGAAGGGTGCAAAGAGCCAAAGAAATTAATGTTAAGAAACTGATTATAGAGGGAGATTCTGCAATTGTAGTGGACTGGTTAAAAGAAGACACTTCTAAGATGTGGAGCTACAGCAATGAGAAGAGAAAGTTCAAATGGCTGATCAAAGATATGGAAGTCCAGTGTACTTGGTTAAAGAGAAATGCCAATTCCTTTGCTGATAGATTAGCTAGGCAAGGGGTTAATAGGGATTCTGGGTTCTGGGCTCAGTTGTAAGTTTTTGTGTGTTTTCAGTCAGATGTATTCCCATACCTTGGGGAGTTAAGATTCCTTAGCTCCTCTTCCTTGTAATTTTATTCCTTTATTAATGAAATCTGTGGTTATTGATAAAAAAAAGAGTTACTTTGATGATGGTCTCAGTTGAAGAAAATCTTTCATTCTTTTCCTCCAAAATACCTCGTAACATAGCTGGCACCTTTTCATCCACTGATGTATGCATTATCTTTCAGGACTTGCAGGAGGGAGTAAGGTACCGTGGCTCAGAAAAATGACAATGTATATCTAATAAAGAAATGGCTTTAGATCCTCAAGGCAAAATGACATTGAATGAATATGAAATTCGTTCTCTTCCACAGCTAGATACAAGTGCAGGCTGGGAAAAGTTTTAACTACTTACCTTTTTATAGGTCACTTCAAAATATAATGCTCTAGGCAGCAGAGAGCTTTTTTGCAGCACATTGTTGGAAAATCCACTGGCCTCTCTGACTGGCAGTCTGCACAAAAGAACCTTGTAGAATGTGGAACAGAGGAAGCTGCTCTTTGGATTGAGATTTCATTCATCTATCCTGGCAAGGATTGGGGAAAACCATTTTCAAAAATTCAATTAAGGGAACAACTACAGCACAGTCATGGTCTTTCAGGTTGAAGAGGAGAGAGTGAGGGATAGTTGATTTCTTTTTGTTTAGCAGTTGATACATCTTTGGAGGCTTGAATTTGTTTTGACCTTCAAAAAAGAATTTGCTTAAATTTTCATTAATCAAACACTTGGTAGGTTATGACTTATGACATTATAGAACCTGAATATGGGTGTTATCCAGTTGATGAAAAGATTTGAAGATTCTTCCTGTAGTTGGACTATGGAATGGAGTGGCAGGACAGGATTGAGGTAGCCAATCCCGAATAGGTGGGATGAGGCTTGGGTCTGATGGGAAAATTAGCTAGCTAAAAAATGAAAGTAACATAACATGAAGTGGATGTACAGTGTGAGCAGGGATTAGTTGAACGTGATGGCTGTGGAACCAATGATAATGTTCCACGCCATTTATAAAATACATGGGACCCGCATCAGCTAATCCGAATTAGCTGATGCGGAATATTATCATTGCCTCCCATCTTTCACAGTGGGGTACATGACTTTATTACTGGTGTGGAATATTATCATTGGTTCCACAGCCAGCTGAACAGCCATCGCGTTCAGCTAATCCGAATTCATACAGTGTACCTTCAGGTATTGGTTGACTACAAGTTAAGTTTTCTTATCTGTTCCAAGTCAATTAAGAATTTTATAATAGGCATACATCAGATTAAATCTCTGTTTGTTAGGTCATGATTATCCGAATTATCAACTTTATGACAATGCAGTTTTATCCCTCCCTTTTGATTTGACTGCCATTTAACTGTTTTTCAGTGACAACGGAAAATATAGTATTTAAAATTTTCTTCTGGAATGTGAATTTTCAGTTGTGAACTATTCTTCAGAAAATTTAACTTACATTTATTATGTTTATGATGTTCAGAAAGATGGGAGGCAACCTTCACATACGGGATTTAAGTGGTTGGTTACAGCTGATGTAGAAAGCTTGGCATGGGACCCACACACTGAGCACTCATTTCTGGTACATTCCTGGATCCTTAATGCCATAATGGTCTTTAACCATGTTTACATTAAATAGATTTTATATTGAATAAAAAGTGGTTCCTTTTGGATGAGAAATTAAATCTCATCACTTCATTAGTTAATAGAAAGAAAACTCCAAAGAGGAATGGATATGGGTGGCTATGCCTTCTTGGTCAAAAGATGGATTTACTTGGATATGCCTTTCTCTTTTTGGTAATTTTAAAATACGTTAGATTACTGGGATATTTTAGGCAGAAAAACAAAATTAATGAAAAAGAAGCCATAAAGAAAGGAATCCACTTCCTCCAAAACTAATCCTTTTCTGTGGAACTTAATCACTTTATATTGGCATCAAGAACAGTTGATGCCTAAATACTGAGCCTAACTTTTTCCTGATGAACTTTCCATTAACAACCACTTGTGGAATTGATCTATCATTTAGTTTTGGTTGAGAAATTGGTTTTTAGGAGGTAAACTACTATGGAGTTCCTAATGCTTATGTCGTATGTGCATGATAAGAAATAAAATGGACAGTTTTCATAGAGAAATAGCACCTCCACTTTTTCTTGTTGATGTCGAGGTGTTTTATTTTTTTAAGACAGCTTATGGGTATATATATTGGTTCTACTACATTGAGGGATTGGGGACTCCAATGAGCTTATATCCTTCTCATTTCAAGGCTTAAGGCTTTAGGTTCTTCAATATAGGTGGCCGACAGGGTTCTACTGTCACATTGCATCAATCTCTTCAATTTAAAGGGATCTTGAGGCTTGCAAACATGCCTTAAGCATTTTTTGAACAGTAACGATCACATTTTATTAGGAATTGAACAGGATGTTCAAATTATACGGATTCACAAAAAAGATATTCATTCACTGTTCTTGTCATGCCTAAATCATTCATTCACTGTTCTTCCATTAAATATCTTGTTCCTTGGAAACTGCATGAAAATACTTTTGACTAGGGGTGGGGAAGCAAAAGAGTGATTTATGAATTTGTTTGACTTGCATATGATTTATTTTCAGGTCAGTCTTGAAGATGGTACAGTTCAAGGTTTTGATATCCGGGCTGCAACATCAGACACAGCTTCTGGATCCAAACCAAGTTTTACTCTGCATGCACATGACAAGGCTGTTTGTTCACTCTCTTATAATCCCTGCATACCTAATGTATGTATCATATGCCATCATATCTTTGGAATATATACATAGATAACCACATTCACCTTCTTTTTCTAACTTCACCTTGTGCTTTTCTCAGCTGCTTGCAACAGGGTCTACAGATAAAATGGTAATACTTAATGTTCTTCAGAAAGGCTATTATTTCTGATAAGCTGGATAGGCACCTAACTAGTATTCTTACTTGTATGCAGGTGAAACTTTGGGATCTTTCAAATAACCAACCTTCATGTGTTGCATCCAGGAATCCCAAAGCTGTAAGTGACCATTGAGCTCAATGTAATATTGATTTGTTCAAATCTTTTGATGTGTAGAACTGTAGATGTTCATGAATCCTTTATTGCACAGTTGTATCACTTTTTATATCATCCCTCGGACAAATTTTGTTATGATCACATACATTAAGAGTCCAATGGCTTGTCATATATTTTTCATTGGGACTTTCTTGCTGAATTTGCATGTTCCAATGGTCTCACAAAGCTTCACTGTGTAGAGAACACTGATGTGGGCCCCACGGCTGTGGTCCCCACTGTGGTCGTATGACAGCACATGTAACCTTTGTTAATTTATGTCAATGTTAGTTGGTAGTTATCTTAGACAGCTTGTTATTTCAGTTTATTATTGTTTTATTTGCCATGTAAGCATTAAGGGAAATTCTGTCCTTTCCTACATTTAGTGAACATAATCTATAAATATTGAGAGAGTGGCGGCGGCAGATTCATTTGATCTGTCCCTCTTTTCAAAACTCTTGTGTACTTCTGCTTTCTTCTCCCTCTTTCTTCTACTTTTCTCAATCCGAAATCTTTTGGAATTCAAGACTGACTGTAGTCTTGATCGACTACTCACTGCAAGTTTTTTTTTTTTTTTTTGGTTCGCAGTTGGAATCGGAATGGGAATGGGAATGGGAATCCTTCGGAATTGGAATCGGAATCGGAATCGGAATGGTCTATTATAGTCTGTTTGGTTCAGACAGGAATGGGAATGAGAATTGGAATAAGGAGGAATGGGATTTCATTCCCAAGGGAGGGGTAGGGAATGGCCATTCCCTCAGATGGGGGAATGCCATTCCAGCAGGAATGGGAATGAGATTCCGATTCCGCCCAACCAAACAGTTGGAATGGGAATAGCCCATTCCGATTCCGATTCCAGACCCCTATTCCTGTAAACCAAACGGGGCCTTAGATCAATCTGACATGTGCCATCTCTCTGTATTAGATATGCCTAGATTGAATCTAACCTGGAAATCACTTCTAACATGTATATATTGGGTGAAAAGATATTCTTTTCCTTTTTTTGTTATTATTTTAAAAGAAACAACACAATGGTCTCGTGGACTGATAAGAAAGCACTTAGAACTATTTCTGAACCCAAATTCTATATGTTTGTAAATAATTGACCAGAATTACTAATCTGGCCCAACAAAACCTAAGATATTGATATTGAGTATAGGCCTAATTTTACAATAAATCTATTCTTTTTCTTACTCTATCTTTCAAAGTATCTTCTATATCTCCCATGAAATGATATTACTAAACATTTTATATGAAATTATTATAGGTAAACCAGAACAAAATATAGAAAATGTAAGTAGATAATTGGTTCAGAACAAGTAAACCCAATTCTGATCCTGCTGATAATCAGAATTAAAAATGCAAATCCAGAGCTGAACCTATTGATAATTGGGACTAATATACAAACTGAGATCCTATGTGATAGGGTTCTGAGAGTGGCCACTTTGTGCAAAAAAAGAAAGAAAAGAAAAAGAAAAAGAAAAAGAAAAAAAGCCAAAGCCTGTATCCAGTGTATCCCTCCCAAGACCTCAGATGGTTGGGACCAACATTGGGTAATGGCCTTTTTTTATCCTATGCAATAGGGCTAGTTTAGTTCTATTCATTTGGGACCAAGACTAAGGATTATTCTAGATTCACAAATTGAAAGAACATATAGCCTAAATTCCCCAACCAATACTTCAAGTGCCTTAGTTTTTTTTCCTGGTATGCATCGGAGTGCTCTAGTTGGTGCCGTCTTTTTTTCCTGTGTCATGGGTGTTATGCACATGAAATTGTACTGTCTACTGTGTTAATAGTTAGCTGAAGCCTCTAGGTCAAGTTGATCACATTAAGCATATATGTACCTGTGTAACCTGTATATGTTGTATTACCTAATATCTGCACACTGGATTTTCCTTAATCCGAATCTTGTTTTTTAGCTTATTCTGTTGGAGGGGCTACTTCTACTTCTATTTAAACCTTCCCCTCTTTAGTGAATTGGGATTTTCTCCTCACAGAGCACTCCTCACACGACCTCAGTCACATCCCACCATATATTGGGAACATCTCCCCTGAATAATAATATACAAGTACGGGAGATGTTCCTGATAGGCGGCTGAGACACTCTTTAGTCACAGATGGCACTACTCTCTCTCTCTCTCTCTATGTATCTATCTATCTATCTATATTATATACTATCTATCTATTCTGTAACTTTCAGACTACAAATGCTTGTGTCCTTGCCTTGCTGTAGCCGGATATCACAAGTAACATGCATATATTATTGTAGTATTTGTGCATGCTTTTCATCTGTTACTAGCATTTTCATCCATCTTGCCTTGGCTGTTGCCCATCTTAGAAAAATTTTCCCTTTTTTTTGTTGTTTGTCAAAATGTCATCAGGGAGCCATCTTTTCCATTTCCTTCTCGGAGGACAGCCCATTTTTACTGGCTATAGGAGGCTCCAAGGGAAGATTGGAAGTAAGTAGGCAGGCCTTGTCATTTACCTTCATTCTAAAATGTTCCAGGAGCTTAAAACATAGTACTATTTAACCGTTTTCTGAACTTTTGCAGGTTTGGGACACCTTAACTGATGCTGGCGTGGCACGTCGATTTGGGAACTACAGCAAGAAGAAGGTGGAACCCATGACAGAGTCTTGAAAACCAGAGAGGAATGTATTCACTGCATGTTGGCAGCAAGAGCCGTTATAGGTAAGCATGTTCTAAACAAGAGTATCGGAAGGAATCAGTACTGGAGCGAACCGCCAATAATTATGCAGATCATATGCGGGTGGGCCATTGGGTCCTTTGTCATCTGTGAAATATAATGGGGGGGGGGTGAAGGACTGTTGAGGGCCATTTTTATAACATGATACCTTAAAATTACCAAGAAAGTTGGAAGAAAAAGGCGAAGGGATGCTTCATTGTACTTGCTCAATTTTGTTTTATCATTTTTTCAGCTTTATATATATTTGTTATTGGTGTCGCATAGGCACGCAGTAACCTATCGATTTTCACGTGGTCCGGTGGTCGCTTGATGTTCATTATTAACCTTGTCTTTCAATTCTTGAATCACAGTGCATGTCAAGATACGGGTTGCTTGTTTACCCCTTTTTTAATTTAAATTTTCTGTATTCTTATCTCCTGTTCTACTAATATATATTTTTTCTGTTTATCCAACCTCATTTGATGAATCTTTTGGAACAGGTCTGCAAATGTTTTCCTTATATCAGAATCAGAATTCAAATCAAATCCAACTAAGGCGATCTAAATGCAATCAATTCATGATATATCAAAGCGAGTTTTATTGATATAATCATTTTTGGTTTTATATATTAGTATTAGACCTGTTCATGAGCCGGGCTGGGCTTGACTTTCACTCTTCATTAACATAACTTTTTGAGGCCTGAGCCCGAGCCCGGCCTGACCATTGGGCCCAAGCCTGGCCCTCGTAAAAAGCCTGAAGCCCGATTTGACAAATATTTATTTTATTTTATTTTTATTCATCGAAGCTGAATCAAATGAAAAAAAAACAAAGTTTAGAGAGAGAGAGAGAGAGAGAGAGAGGTTGGCGGTTGCTACTATCTGAGAATCTGAGATGAGATTGCGGTTGGCGGTCCCTACTATCTGAGAATCTGAGGTGAGATTGCTGCCTCACCGGAGAATGATAAAAATAGAGATGACTGATAAGAGGACCGAGGACCGACTAGGGCTTGCTGCTACCTGAGTTTGCTGGAGAAGGAAAGATTGGTTGCTGCTTGCTTGCTGTTAGCCTATGTTTGTTGCTGCCTCGCCGGAGATTGCTGGTTCGTTGGTGACTTGGTGCTGGTGGTTACTCCCAAGGTTCAAAATATCGTTATGTATCAGTCCATATCAACCAATACGTATTATATTAGGGCCTTCCCAATGCACCCCTACAGGGGGTGGTATCGGGTCAAGCCATGGTTCAAAGGGTAGCCAGGACTTAAATTGACTCTTCTGAACCAGTTTTGAAAAAAATAAATAAAAACAAAAAAAGCACCGATACAGGCTGATATGCCCTACCAGTGTATCAACGTATTGGCCTATATCGATATTTAGAACCTTGGTTGCTGCTTCAACTCTCTGAGAGTGTGAAGTGAGAACAAGAAGAGAAGGGGAAAGGGTAGTCGGGCAAGGTTCAAAGTATCGACACGTATTGGCTGATACGTATTGTTCTGGGACCCCTCCGATACGCCCTTATAATGGGTGTATCNGGGGGGGGTTTGATCGGTTCAGGGGGTGGATGAGACCTAAATTGCCCCCCCTGAACTGGTTCAGAAAAAAAAAAACAAAAAAAAAACAATACTGATTCGCCCGATACGCCGATATGGGCATATCGGGCGTATTAATTATATATTTTATTATATTATATTATATAATAGGTAGGACTGGGCTGGGCTTTTTTTGACAAATCCTGAGCCTGGCTCGAAAAATAATTGGGCTTAGTGTTTTGTGCCTGAGGTCAAACCTGTGGGCTTAAAAGCTTGTCCAAGCCCATCCGGGGACCGGGCCGGGCCGGGCTGTTGGGCTACCCGGCCCATGAACAGGTTAATTAATATTCAACATTCTGAATGTTAATGAACCAAATTTGGATCAATCATCTATGGCTTTATGCACATGATTCTATTCGTTTCAGCTGCAGCTCTATTTTGGAAAGGCTAGACTATATTTTTGTGTGTAAATGATACCCCAGGTGCCTTGAGCCTGTTTTATTAGAGTAATACATTAACAAATGAGCAAACATACCAGGAAAGAAATGTTAAATTTTGGAAAATGTTATCACGTTGAGAGTCTCTCAGACTCATGAAATATTTTCAATTTTCACAGCGTTCCATGGTCAAGATTGGCTTTTCTTACATTTAACGGAGCATAACGATCCACCAATATCGTCAGGTCACATATAAAGGGGTTTCGTCACCATTTATAGGAACCTTGATCAGTTAACAATGTCCATACGAAATGTTTTTTACCTAGTTGTGTATAAAGGAAGGTTGATGTTGAGCTGTGCAGGTTGCTTCTTTTTTAACATTGGGTGACATTATTTACACTGTTAACCTAATGTGTCTTCTTCTTCTTCTTTCTGCCTTGATGCTATCACTTTACTTGTAATTGAAGATGGCCATCATTAAAACCAGTGCGCAGGGGAAGTTGGAGATTGTAAAAGTACAAAAATATTTTTTATCAATATTTTAAAAGCTGATTCAGAGGCTGAACCATTTTTGTTTCAAGCACCAGTTCAATCATTTGGGTTGAATGAGTTAGACTGTACTACATCAGCAAATACACATACATGCATTATTTTATATATAATTTATATTTTTATTCAGTTTTTAATTTTTATTTGTAAAAATATTAAAAATTGTAATTTAAGGTCAAAAAAGGGTTTTTAGCAAAAATAGCGAAACAAGGTTATGCCCTCCAAAAGTTTGCACATACATAGTGTAAAACACCTGGTGACCAGCCTGGGTCAGACGGTTTTTGACTAAATAAATGGGTTTTGACCAAATCTTGGGTTTTAGCCAAACTGGACCAGAATCATAGCCGGGTGACAGTTCATCTGTGGTGGGTTGAAAACAATGCTTTTAATCATGAGAGCAACTGAAATTTTATTAATAGGAGTGCGGAAGAATGCTATAACCAATAACATCAAAAGTTTAGAACAAAATACCAAATGAAAAAACATTATTGTTCAAGAAGACTAAGAGATGGATGAACATGATGCTGGCGTGTATGGGATGGATCCACTATAAGAAAAAAACTACCCTACATAAATTTAGACAGGTTCACCCGTATACTAGATATCATGATGCCTTTGGTGATGATGTAGCTTCAAAATTTGTGTCACCTTCGCGACGCAGGCTGTTGTCTCTTCTGTAAATAGCTTTGGCGCCCTGAGAAATCAAGGAGGTGAGATTTAGTTAACATGCACTACTAGCAAAAACTGAACAAGTTTCATTTATTTCTGATTCTACTTTCTAAGTGCACCGGTTGATGCAAGTTCACTCACAAAGTAGCTAGAAACGTTTCCACAGCCGTCTGGAATCACAAAATTTGGGCCAACTGTATTCTTCTGTCGGAGTTTGAATTTACTTTGTCCTTTGCTTGTTCTAATCTTTCCTTAGATATGCAGCTAATCTATATGCAGCTAATCTATAAGTTAGATGAGTAATTACAATTTCAGCTGTTTATGTTCTATTTTCAGACGGAATACAATACTGGAACAGTTTAGGCCTACTCAATGTCACAGGAATGGATGTGCTATGAGACGTTGGAAATAAATAATCACCCCCTGCCATATATGCAAAGTTTGAATTCTTTTTGCCTCTGCAAGTTGTTACACAGATGCATAAAGCACTGCAGTAAAACAAGTATTGCTTATGCGATACCCAAGGGAACCCACCTGCCTATCCAAGACTGGAGTATTCCTACTGATTGCATGAGTGTCTAAGTAAGCACTATGTGGCAACAGAGGAGTCGCCAGTACTTATCTTGAGTAAATTATATTTAGACATATATCTCATGATTTATATGCATTATAAGATAATTTAATTGTATAGGTATAGACGTATAGTTATTTCTGTAATTAGTATGATTTTGTTATTTCTCAGTGTACAAAGGTTTTCAATGGTGCATATCTATCTTATCATTGGAAAAAAAATTAGGGTGGGAGAGGGCGGAGAGAAAAGTATACAAGATAGATGAGAGACTTAGATATGAAATCTTACTTTACACACAAAACATTTCATGATCTTGTGTACAATCTACACATTTAAAAATTAGTAGCATAACATTTTTATTTCTTGGAAAAATATATCTAAGAGACTTAAACTTCTTGCCTTACAGGATGTCCAGCCTTGAGGTTGAGGTTGATTGTTCATTATACCATATCTATTTAATTATTTGGTGTCAGATTTTTAGATATGTATTTGGTCCCCTGCTTGCAATCACTCTCGGAAAAGGTCTGGTTCATTGCTACTGATAAAAAAAGGTCATGGCTTACAAGCTAAAATACTTTGAAAGTCACTTAGACGCCTTGAATGCATCAATAAGCAGACAAGGCCTGGTTGTAGTAGCTATCTAAGAGAGAGTTGTAGTAATATGACAGTTGCCACTATCATTTGGACGGGGAAATAAATAAATCCATATTTGCTTGTTTACTTTGACTTTGTCTTTCAGACAACTTTTAACCTTATCCTGGTTAGTTCTGCCTTTGACCCGGGTTCTAAAACCATTATATCATCCTAATTTTGTAGCAAGTCAGGTCAAAGGCCAATCATCACAGGCTTGGCAGTCACAAAGTCCTTATATCATAAAAGTGCAGGATATATACATGAGTTTCTGGATTCTTGTGCAAATTTCTGGGGTTATGGGGTGTTTCATCTTGTCCTCCTTTGGTTTAAGTATAACTTGATGGACAAGGCCTTTGAGAATAGTGAACTATCAGCATTGATAAAGAAAAGTATTACCTTCAGTATTTCTTAATGAGAAGTTTCCTGCTTCCTCATTAATAAAGATATTATAATGACAAATAAGAGCCAGTAGGCTAGAATTTAATTTATGCTTTCACCTCAACTCACTATTACCCCTTGGTATAGATACTTAAAAGTTTTTCTTTTGAATCTTTCACCAATAACACGAGTTTGGATCTATTTTCCTACCTAAACTATTTGAACATTATGATAAAGTGAATCATATATGTAAGATTTTCTTCTTTTATTTACCAAATACAAAATTATTGATTATAAAATTACTACAAAAATTAAAAACATGATAAATATACATGCATGAAAGAAAATGAAGCCATCACTTACTTGGAAAATGGTTCCGAGCTTTTTTAATGCATTTGCTCGATGCTTGAGCACATCCTTGGAAACGTTAGGTTCTTTGAGAACCTGAAACAGAGCATTGAATTAGAACTTATCACTCCAGAATAAGAGACACTAATAAAATCTGTGAGAACAGATGCACTAATGACAAACCATATCAGCATCACTCAATAAAGTAAAACGAATATGTCAGTCTCTTTTATGAAAAGAAAGATTTAGTGCTTCCACTTCCACTATGCATCCTTGAGTTGAAGGCCATTCTGGTGAGTTTGGATCTCCTCCTCATAGAATAAAAGAAAAAAAAGAATCCTCCTCGCACCCACCTCACAGCATGTTATAACTGCACATCAAGAACATCTCCCTACTTGTATATTTTCATTCATGGGAGATGTTCCCAATGCACAGCTGCAAGTGCTGTGAGGTGGGTGTGAGGACTATTCTGTGAGGAGGAAATCCAGATTCCATTCTGGTAGGCTTGAAGACTACAAGTACCTCCTGGTCCCAGATGTGTTGGATTATTTGACACTTTAATAATTATTTACTTATTTTCATAATGCAAAAATTTGTGTTAGTATTACAAAAATCAGATGACAGGAGTGGTATGTACGTGCATATCATGTGCAATTTTGTGGTGAGACCCACTATTTTGTGGAAAATATACCAATCCCTCCCAACCCCAAACAAAAATAAAAGCTGACATCTTCAAAGCCATCCAAAATAGATGTTCAATGATACCTAGTGTAGTGGGTCTAATGCACCACTTTGTCATCATTTGCTCATATGCCCTAAAAAAATCTGTGCAGTTCTCACCTTCCATTCTGAGAGTTAATAGAAGGAGAGTAGTTGTCAATTTGTCATTTAATAACCTCCTATTTTCAAAGTTAAGGCTGTTCCTCAGTGGGAGTCCCTTCCCTTGGGGAATAAGAATTCCTTTCCATTATGGAATCAAAGAAAAATTTTTAATACAAGAGCTCCTTTTGGGTCCTGTAAACATATCCTAGCATCCCCCTTAGGAGTAGTGTGTTCTCCTTCTAAACAGACCAACAACTGTAATGGAGAATCCACCTCACAACAATTAGGCAGAATATAGGGCTCAACCTGACCTGATATCTCATCTCTTACAAAGGTCAAAGGCCCCTTCCCTTTCCTTGGGGAATAAGAATTCCTTTCCATTATGGAATCAAAGAAAAATTTTTAATACAAGAGCCCCTTTTGGGTCCTGTAAACATATCCTAGCATCCCCCTTCGGAGTAGGATGTTCTCCTTCTAAACAGACCAACAACTGTAATGGAGAATCCACCTCACAACAATTAGGCAGAATATAGGGCTCAGCCTGACCTGATATCTCATCTCTTACAAAGGTCAAAGGCCCCTTTGTTTTTATCCATGCAGAAAGGTCAGAGAAGTCATTACTTAAGGCTATAAAACTGCACCAGATTTCCTTCCAGAAACTAATTCAGTTCCAGTCATCCATGATCCATGTCCACTGTTGTCCTTGATTATGCCTTCCTATATGTTCGATGGTTAACTAAGACCTCATGGCCATCCGAATCCCAGTATCCAATCTTGTATGTAGCTTGGACCACTATTGTAAACATCTTTTCCCTCTCTTAACAACCACAACGTAATGCAAGTATAGAAGAAAAATATGAAAAATAAGAGGTATCTCCATATCTGAGTTTCATGAATGTCCTGGGAATAACCAGGGTTATCTTGAATTGGGCCCACAGGCTCTGTTGGAGCCTACTAGCCACATCCTTTCATATATGAGGATAAAAAGAATTTATTAGGCTTCTTTAGATCCCATGTTCACTCAAAAGATTTTATGTTATTTAGAGGTTTTACGAAGTATTCCTTGGTTGTTACTTAGGGTCCACAAGGTATCATTGGACCTTAAGTTGAATCTCTTCACTTTTATTTAGAGCTATCTATTTGGGGTCAAAAGTATTGTTTTTCTAGAATTTTAGTGCCATTAGGTAGGTTTTTCAGAAATCCATCTAATCAGATTCATGAATTGGATGTGAATTGAGAAACTTCACACTCTATTGACAAACACTTCCCAAAACTTCTTAAAACAAAGCAATTAACCATTCAGTTCAGCCATTTCATTTGTTATGAAAATAGTCTCCTAGAGTCTGTAAATAGAAACCCAGCCCCCCATAGTGAGTCCAAAACATAGAGTCTTTGTAATTGGATTTACTTTTCATGAGCGGAGTTGAAAAAAAGTTGAATTGTGTTGTGGGAATTTACTCCAGATACCTCTTCTCTCTTGTCTCTAGTAAATCTATATTATTTTTACTGCTTTCTCTTTAGTACAACTGTCTATTCTCTTTATTTTATTTTTCATCATCATCATCGCCTTATCCTGACTACATAGGGTTGGCAACGTGATTCCTGTTTTGCCATTCTGAATTTAGTATCCATGACCAATAGAGTCTGGCAAAAGTTTAAATGCTGGTTGTCAACCTGACACAACCCTACTCCTTTACAAGGTTCAAAGTATCGACCCGTATCGGCCCGTATCAGCTGATGCATATTGTATCGGGAGCTTCCCGATGCCCCTACAGAGGGTGTATTGGGGTTTTGACTGGTTCAGGGGGTGGACAGACCTTAAACTGCCCCCTCTGTACCAGATTTGCAAAAAATAAAAAAAATCTACCGATACTGCCCGATACGCCTCTACCAGCGTATCGGACATATCAATATTTTGAACCTTTCCAACTTTCCATATCAAATTGTTTGTATCCATCTGTAGATCCCTATTTTCTGTTGTAAGTAGATGTAGATCCACCATTAGGATTCCAAAAATTTCCTAACCATCCAAAGAGTGACAAATTTAAAAGAATCTTTGAGGGGGGAGACACTCCCAAGGGTGCTGGCTCATATACATGCATGTACGTGACTTACATATTAGTAATAAGAGCACTATGAACTTCATAAGATTTAGTAATAGGAGGACCATGAACTTCATAGGACTATGAAACCTTTACTGGTCAAGATAAAGGTAGGTTTTAAGTAAAGGATATAGTATGCCCAAGATAAAGAAACCTTTACAGGGAGTTCAAATGCAATATGTCCTACTCTTAATAAGAAAAAGTTAGTACAACAAAATCTGCATTCTTTAACTTTTGGGGCATGGATTCAAGTTGGATTCCCTTTAAAGTAAACAATCCACATCCCTAGAGTGGGCATGTCATTCCACTAGCATACAATTGGTGCATTATGGTCATATCACATATGATACTCAAAGCTAGGGATAATATATAAATAAAGCTTACCGCGTGGCAGACATGTGAGAGGGTTAATTCAATGTCCACAACATTTATCTTCCAAAGAGAATTAATCATGGCATCTTTCTTTTCTTCAATCTGCTTCATCAGGTTTTCTTCTTTGTTCTCTCCTTGTTCCAACTTCCTTAACTCTTCCTGTATCTGAATTAAAGACACAGCACCTACACATTCAGGAGAAAAACAAGTTCATTGCTTTCTTTCAGAAGCTTGGAATAGAGAAAGACCCAAAAACCAATCTTTTCCAAAGGGGCTCTCCAATTGCCTAAGCAAACACATCTAAATAATGACCCAGCAAAAAGGAAGGAAAAATTTGTTTGGACTATCTGGATGGAGAGAAACCACACAACTTTTAAAAACGAAATTTTCTTACTGGATGAATTATGCTGCAATGCAGTTGCAAAGATTTTCTCTTGGATAGGCACAGCTAACATTACAGAGGAACTATTATTTTGTAATTAGTATACCTTTTGTTCTTTTTGAAATTCCATAGCATTGTATAGCCACTCACTGTATTGGGAGTCTCTCCCATTTATACATCATTAATACAATTGTAGTTTTCCCTTTCTCCAAAAAAAAAAAAAAAGAAGAAGAAAAGAAAAGCAAACAAACCTGCAGCTGCTGTGACTTGTGATTTTATATGGTGACCTTTGTCTCGGACCCACTCTGCCAAGAATGGCACACCCATGTATCTCATGTTCTTCCCCAATTCTTTTGCAGCTTGCCTCGTATAGATATAACCAATGGTGTGCAGCATAGCCTCACCAAAAGCTGAAATTTAAAAATATGAGTTAACAAGAATTGTGAACTTGCAATAGGAATAAGAAAACCAAAAGTTAGGAAAACTCATAGAGAACCTATAACATATTAACATGATTCTGCACATTTCTGATCTTGTGAAGTGTTTAGCGCTGTGCAATGTCTAGTTGTCTACCATCATTTTACATTCCCATGAGGAATCTAAAACAACTTCTGGAACTTAGAAAAAACCATTATCCAATCATGATCTTGGCTTTATGGAGAATTGGAATGGGTATATAGGCCTCTCTCAGACTCAAACCTGTATTCTCACACTTGTCAGCATGATATTTTACCATTGCATCAAGTAATGGACCCTAACTGTGGAAATTCCAAGATGAGTTTCCTTAGGAGAAGGTTGTCAATAGAAACTTTGAATGAAACCGTTATCTGCTGCTGGTCCTGCCTATCAAAGTAGCTGTTCTTGGACTCAAACCCACATTTTCACACTTATCAGCCTGGGATTTTACAATCACACCACAATAGCCCCTGTAAGCACAAACTTGATTGGTCAGGGAACAATTCAAGCCTAATGGAACAACTCAGTGAAGCAGGTGAGACAGAGGTTAAAAAATGACATGCCTCATTGGAATCACCTAGGATATTTGGTAATAGGATACATGGCATGGGAATCATAAACTGGGCTCCAGTATTTGGTTGTCTATAATGGTCCTAGCAAATTTTGAGGGAAGAGTATGGTTAGAAGAATTCAACTGTTCCAGAAATGATCTCACCATGTTTGTCAAGGTGATGCCTAGGCAACAAGGCACCCTTGGAGGCTCGCCTCACCTAATCGCCAAACAGTTTTCTATAAAAACTTTTATATTCTTAACTTTTTGAGGTTATAATTATTAAATAGACATTTTTAAACTAAAATATTCATTTTGTGTGTTTATATATTAATTTCTTTTTATTGTTTTCTTATTTTTTAGGGTTTTAATCAACACAAACATTGCTAAATGCTGTGTATTGAATCCTCAAAGACTTCAAAACCTGAACCAATAAGTAAGGAAGAACTTAAAATGTTGCCCAATCAACACATTTTCTTCTTTTTCTTTACTAATTTTGTGTGTATATACTAATTTCTTCTTCTTCTTCTTCCACATTTTCTTTTCTTCTTTTCCTATAACAGAAATAGGGGTTCAGCCCCTATATTTTTTGAATTTTCTTTTCTTTCTTCTTTTTCTTCTCATGAATATGTTGGAATATGTTGATTTTCTATTCTTTAACATAAAGCTTATACTTTTCTTATGAAAATTATGGATATTTATTAAGGAAATATGATTATGAAACCTAGGGAACTACCCTAAGATACATGTTTTTACTTAAAAAAATCCATCGCCTAGGCGACTAGGTGACAATGCGCCCCCCTATCGCCTAGCCTTGCCTTGGCGCCTTGAAAACTATGGATCTCACCAAGACCTTCAGTGATGGAATGCGATTCAGTTCACCTGATTAGATGGACCTTCAGAAATAGTCAGGGCTGAAAAAACTTGGTTCTATTTTTCAAAAGTTAATGAGCTTAGTTAAAGGCCTTTTAGGATTATTTTAGGAAGCAACTGATGCAACCAATTCTTTGACTATGGATGATGGTGTGCTCTGATGGACACAGGGAAGGGGAATCTGTTTAAGTCTTCATTCTTTTCTCTACCTAAGATAAGGGGAAGGATACTTTAGAGACACAATATTGTGGTGTATATGAGGGGAAAGCAATGTTAGAATCTTCAGAGACACCTTTCAAAGTAAAGAAGCCACTATTGAAAGAACCCAGATTTCCTACTCACTTTTCCTACCCACTCTCTACCCACCATGAATTGCAGCCACACATCTCTCAAATCATAATAGAGATGTGTGCTGCAATTCACGGTGGGTAGAGAGTGGGTAGGAAATCCCGTTTGCTATTGAAAAGGTTGCAGTTTGTGCTGTGAATTGGGTGAAGACAATGGGAGCCTTCAAAGACTTCTAAATAGAGTCTACTGTGAGAAATTGGTTGGAAGTGGCAAATTCTTCCATGATCATATGGACCTGATTCCCTTTTGGTCTCTTCCTCCAAATTACATATTTTGAAATGGAAACAGCATGGGGAACCTTGGTCCTTTGGAATTTGAAGAAATAGTTGGTTAGCCATGAGTGTGGGATTCCATACCCAAACTCAGGCTCTAGTGTGTGTGGTTTCATACCCACACCTAGTCGTTTCTAATTTCTTTTATTGGTAGTTTCTAATTTCTTTTTAGTAGTTCTAATTTCTTTAGTTTCTAATTTCTGTTATTAGAAGTTTCTAATTTCTGTTAAGTGGGCTGGCTGGCCTTCTTGTTTCTAATTTTTGTTTATTTCCTATTCTTGTAAGGATCCTAAAAGCTATAAATAAAGGAGTGTATGGGGCA